TAGCAGCTTTGTTCACAACAGTCAAAACTAGAAATAACTGGATTGTCCAATAATTGTGGTGTGTTCACACACAGGAATAACACTCATCAATAACTCCAAAATAATAACTCTCAACAGCATAGATGCATCTCAAAAACACTGTTACATGAAAAAAAAAAAAAAAGCCACACACACAAAGGGAGCATGTTGATTTACACAAAGAAGCATGTTGACTTACAGTGAATCTTAAGAACTCAACCCACAGTGGTCAACTCAATAGAGCAGAACTGCCCAGTCGTTACCAAACCACTTGGAGCAGCTGGTGGATCTGAACCACCAACCTTCTGCTTAGTAGCCAATTAGTAGCCAAGCTACTTAACCACAGCACTACCAGGGATCTTGCACCTTGAGGACAGTCAACCTGAATCTATGGAACTAACATTAACCTAATTCTAATCTAATTACTTCACATTAATCTAATGTTCATCAGGATGGTTTGCCTAAGCGAGGGTTCTAAAGATTTTTTGTGAGCTGATGGTTACATTTGCTAGAATACACCGTGCTCTGCACTTCAGACTTGTGCAGTTTACTGTTAGCATAAAATTGCGGGGGGAGGCATCGAGTTTAGGCTTTATATTTAGTAGATTTTGTATTTTTCGATTTTATTGTAAAATAGTGTTAGAATGTGAGCATATAAAAAGCTGTTGTCATTGCACCTAAAAAGGCCCCGCTGACACGTGAAATATCTCAACCGGAAAAGTGGTTTCGGCCTCACCGTTACGTTGGTACAAGCTGCAGCCAAGCGCCCCTTGAGAGACGGCATTTTACTGGGGGGATAGTTTCTGCGCATGCTCGTACATACTGGTCAGTCCCGCATCTCCCAGGAGCAGAGCCCTAGGTGTGTGCACGCAGGGGTTTCCTTACGCTGCTCTTTGGACGCAGATTAAGGGGGCAGCCCGTGCGAGGATTAAAAGCGGAACTAAAACACGCACCAAATCTTGCAAAGTAAAGGCCAGGTCCTGCCGTGACTCGGATTCGAACCGAGGTTGCTGCGGCCACAACGCAGAGTACTAACCACTATACGATCACGGCGCGCCACGAAGCTACCGGCTGTTCCCGTGCTTCGTTTTACATTTTTTATTTGTAACACGCACCATATTGTCCTGCTTTGTTCTTGGAGAGCCACGAGTCTTTGAGTTTTTCTGTTTCATGTCCTTTCTCCGTTTCTCTTTCCTCGTTCTGATACACGATAAAAACAATTCTCATCTTTCGGGATCTGGCCTCCTGGGAGAGTTCATTGTCCTAGTCCTCTCTCTCTGTTTCCCTTGTGGACCGGTCCCTCTCCCGTTCCGCCTACCCCGACCCCGCCGAGCCCGCCGAGCCCGCCAACCTCTTGCGACGCCGCCGCGCCGAGCGCCGGGAGTTCGAGCCGCGCAGGTGGCGCACTCTCGGCTTTTCCCGCGGCCCCGCCTCACGGGACAATGCGTGCCTGGAAATCAATGAACCAAAGAAAAGGCTTTTAAAGCAGAACTTCTCCCTTTGAAAATCCTTTCAAGAACCAAACCAAAAAAAAAAAAAAAACAACGACAAAAAAACAAACCCGCTGCCGTCGGGTCCGACTCACAGCCACCCGGTAGGTCAGAGTAGAACCGCCCTATAGGGTTCCCATAGAGCACCTGGTGGATTCGAACTGCCGAACTTTTGGTTCGCAACCGAGCTCTAAACCGCTGCGCCACCAAAGTTTCCTGTGAATTTCCCGTGTTCTTCAAGGAAATGAAAGCACAAACACAGCAATGTATCGACTCAAGAGGTCCTCCCTGAGCGCCCTGGGGTGTGCCAGGCCCTGTAGTCGACGAGCGGACACAAGAGCGACCGTCACCACGAGCCCTGCCCTCGTGGAGCTCGTGGAGGGGACGCAGGGAGGAATCCGAAGACGGAAGCGTCACGCCCGCCCCGAAAGTGGCTGATAGGGGGGCAAACACTCATCCCTTGCCCTGCGTGGGTCCTTCCACGCCCTCCGGCCCGAGCGTCCCTCCCGGGCCTGGGGGCTCAGGCGGGGAGGCGGGCCCCGGCGTCGCCTGCAGCGCCGACTTTGGGGGCAGGCGAGGAGCCAGGAGGGGCGAAGAGCGTTTGGCTTTTCTAGCTTCACCCAACGCACAGGTTTCAAAGGTGACGAACAGCACGCTTCGTCCCCCCAATCTCTTCGGCTTGCCTAGGTTTTGGGGCCTGCAGAGTCGTACTGCACAAGGCGAGTGGCACCGCCTGGCAGTCAATGGGTCCTAGGACCCTACTGAAAAAAAAAAAAAACAAAACCCCAACCCCCTCTCATAGAGACCCCACAAAGGCAGAATGGAACTGCCTCATAGGGTTAACCCAAGGAGCAGCTGGTGAACTCGAACTGCTGGCCTCCTGGTTAGCGGCCTCAGCTGTCAGCCACTGTGCCACCCGGGCCCTGCTCGGCTGTGCTCGCGATTGGTAAAATTACCTTTCCACGTCCCTGTGGTGCAGTCGGTTAGTGCGTTCGGCGGTTAACGAAAAGGTTGGTGGTTCTGAGCCCGCCCGGGAGCAAGCACTGCGTAATCCATCCAAGCCGTTTGCAGAGATTGGCTCACTCGGCCTAATGCCCACTTGATGTCCTCCCACATCCTCCCAGAAGATCTAACGGGAATAAATTAAGTTCTACGGTTGGGAGATACGGAAATTCCTTGAAACAGGATACAAGAGCCTGGTGTAATCTGTGCTCAGGACCATGGATCTGGGTTGAAATCCTGTCTTCCCTCTTGTGTGGCCTTGGACTAGTAACTTCACCTTTATGTACCTCAATTGTTCACATTTCTTATAGGAGGCCGCTAATAGTACATACCTCCAGGACGTGCCTGGATTTCGTAATTGTTTCATCAATAATGAATAGTGAGCGAATAGAATCACGATCATCATTATCTTCTACATTACTTTTAAAAATTTTATTTATTTTGCTGTTGTTGAGAATATACACAGCAAGGTTCTACATGTACTGTTCAGGGACACTGATTACATTCTTCGAGTTATGCAACCATTCTCTCCCTCTTTGTCTGAGTTGTTCCTCCCTCATTAACATAAACTCACTGTCCCTTAAGGTTCCTATCTAATCCTTTGAGTTGCTGATCCCATACAGATAGTTCTTAAAAGTGGATAATGCTCAAGGCAGACACTTTTTACTATTTAAGCTAAACCATTGTTTGGTCTTCCGCGTTATTTTTGATGAAGGTATTTGTTCCATAGTTTCTTTGTACCATCATTTAACCCTTTACGTGTGGTTTTAAAAATTGGGTTGGTTTCATGCTTTTATAATTATAAATAATGCTGCAGTCATCATTCTTGTACACGTCTTTCCCACCAAGCGTGCAAGTATTTCAATAGGGTAGAGTCCCTGAAGTGCAATTGTTCTCTTAGTGATTATAGTAAATGTTTTTAATTTAAGTAGTAAACCCTGAAAATGTGCCTTTCAGAGAAGCAATAACAATTCATATTCCAATTTACTTTTCCAACTCAATAGGAGAGTCCTGTGCTTCATACTCTTGTTAGCACAACAAACTTTCTCCATCTCTGTGTGTTCATCTAATAAGGGGAGTGGTGCCATCCTGACTTAACGAAGGGGGAGGTACAACAGAGGAAATGGTGGGCATTACACATCTGCTCCTCGGCTACACTTCCACAATGTTTTGAAAAGTCCACATATAACTGATTGATTCCTGTGGGGACCTAGTCAATAGAGTCTAGAGAAGAATGACTAAGTGGTCTCTTTGATAGTTTTATGCTGGTCTCAGACATTTGTTTCTCTTCTCCCTTCTCTATCAATGGCAAAGGTGAATTAGCATACTGTCTCTGTATGATTCCTTGACTGTTTTTTGGCTATTTCCACACAATTTAGCTCACCTGAGGCACATCTTGGAGCCAATAGTATCCTGCACCTGACAGTGTACCGCATGTAGACCTGGACCCTTAAGAGCTACGGGCTCACGTTCTCTTGGTTCTTCCATTGAACCCAAGAAAAAAAAATAAGCCCCTTGGGTTTTAAAAGCCAAAGGGGGGTCCGGAAAAGGCTTTTTTTAAATTCTTCTCTCATTTGTGTGTATCAATTATTTTCTACATCAGTGATAGCAGAATGAAACTCTGGTTTTGATTTAATGAAATGAGCATCTGGGAATGATCTCTGTTGGGTGGTGGTTAACATGGATCCAGCCTCTGTTGGATGATAGCCAGTTTAGTCTGTGAGTCTTTTCGTGATTGCCTATTTGTTTGTTCTGGGGTTTCTGGCAGTTCCTGGTGTTTGAGTCTGCAGCACTGAGTTATTCACATTTTTATTGGTCTAATACTAATGAGCTCAATAGGTGTCAATATCTGCAAAGAATGTTCTCAATACATGATGGTTTCCCCCCATCTTAGTCATCTAGTGCTGCTGTAACAGAAATACCACAAATGGATGGCTTTAACCAACAGAAGTTTATTCTGTCACAATCTAGGAGGCTAGAAGTCCGAATACAGGGTACCAGCTCCAGGGGAAGGCTTTCTCTCTCTGTTGGCTCTGGGGAAAGGAAGGTCCTTGTCATCAATCTTCCTCTGGTCTAGGAGCTTCTCAGTGCAGGGATCCCGGATCCAAAGGACATGCTCCCCTCCCAGTGCTTCATTCTTGGTGGTAGGAGGTCCCTCTGTCTCTCTGCTTGCTTCTCTCTTTTATATCTCAAAAACGATTGACAAACTACAACCTAATCTTGTAGATTGACTCCCGCCTCATTAACATAACTGCCTCTAATCCTGCCTCATTAACATCGCAGAGGTAGCATTTACAACACAGACATCAGATGACAAAATGGAGGATAACCACGCAATGCTGGGACTCATGGCCTAACCAAGTTGACATACATTTTGGGGGGACACAATTCGATCCATAACATCCCACCTAAGAACTCTTGAGTTTAATAAATTGCTCTACTTAAAGGGGATCTTAGAATAGAAAGAAAACTGAATTTCTAGCATACAATAGTCTGCTTTATTAGTATGGTGAAGATTCCAAATTACAGAACAATTTCAGGATGTTTAAATCTGGCAAAGAAAGGAGAGAAAAGATATTTATATCACTACAATGAGGCAATTAAGTGAATAAAATGGGAGCTTCTGACAATTATATGAACTAAAATTTAATAATTTCTAGAACGCTGAGCTGGTTCATCCTTTTATGAAAAAGGGCAAAAATCCTTTTAAAATAGATATTTAGAAAATGGATGGAATTCAATGATAATAATGCAGTGGATATTTCCTGAGAGGGCTCTGTTGAACTATAAAGAGTATCATGGAGTTAGGTTTTCAGCAATGAGGTTTCTCCAAGTACCCAATGGTGCTTAATTATTTTCTTTTCTGCTTATCTCACTGATAAGCATTTTAATAGATATCATTGCCTCTTTTCTACTTTAAGAATAATGAAACTCTTTAAATGTCTTGTGTATTGTCAAAGTGACTTCCATAGTCATTTTCGTTCTTTTTTCATGGTTCTATTTCTTATAAGCTCTTCGAATTTCCTACTTTTCCTTTATCAGATAATTGCAACAACTGCTGATATTTCCACTTGATTTGTCATTCTACTCCAGAGTCCTCTAGAATATTATTAACTCATTCACATCTACATACTTAATCTTGGCCTAAAATTGGAATCAAAGCCACCAACAACTTGCTGCTGTTATTGGTATTTCCCAGAGGCGCAAAGAAACAAGTGATGCCAGGGATTAAAGTGGTCATGATACCAATAATACAAAGTATAGTTCAATTGTTTTCTTCTTAACCTACAAACGAACCATTACACGATTTGCTTAACCTCATCTATGTTATTGGTCTTTTACAAGCAGACCGAATAAATTCAAAGTGTACTTGGCTCCTCCCAGTTTTCATTAGTAACTACTTTGTGCCTTTTCCATGTGTATCCATAAAATTACTCTTTTTGAGTAATCTAATGGCTTTCCATGCTCACCAAATCACTATGTAAATGAGACATTGGACACAGTCATCTGGCCATTCTAAACACTGAATTTTTTTTTTTAAACCTCAGTTACTCATATATTATTAAGAGCCTAACATGGTAAGGATCTGATCCAAGATGCTGGATTTCACCAGTTCATATGAGGATTTCTGACCTGGCTCATTGTTCTTAAACTAGAACATGTGATTCATAATTTATTGCTGTGATCCAAATAAATAAAATAGCTCGAGCTTTAACTACTTTACAGATTAGCATAAATTTGTTACCTCCAAAATCAAACCCTTTGCCATCAAGTCGATTTTGACTCAGAGAGACCTTATAGGACAGAGGAGAACTGCCCCATAGAGTTTCCAAGGAGTGGCTGGTGCTTTCAAACTGCTCACTTTTGGTTAGCAATTGCGCTTTTAACCACTGTGCCACCAGGCCT